CCCTGCTGCCAGGCAAAACTTTGACTGCCAGTTCGAGCGAACACATGGTCCGGGCGCTCGATGTCATGTGGCGTCCACAATGTGATTGCAAGAAAATTTGACGTTGATGCGAGGCTTGTTGAGGCATGGAAACTCAATCTTAGCAGGTCTTGGCGGGTTTATTCTCTGTCTGGAGATCAGTTTTTGACCTTTCTGAAGGGCCCAATGTTTGCCGCTCTCTGTGGATTTGGAGCTCGATTTTTCCTTCTGAAGCTTTAAGAACATGTTCCAACTCCGCTCCACTGTCACTTGGGCTTCCTGACAAAAGCTTGAAGATTGCAGCTTAGGGCGTAGCCCGCCGTGGGCCGCTTGAAGCCGGGCCCTCTAAAACAAGCTTGAAGGTTGTTCGTGTCAAAATAGAATTTCATCTAAATCCTTCCTCTCCCCTGCTGCCAGGCAGGGTCCCGAAATTGGTGGCTTGGACCCGGGGACCTTGGAGCTTGGGGGCTTGGACCCGAAAACCTTGGGGCTTGGGGGCTTGGATCCTGGAACCTTGGAGTTTGGGCTGGAACCTTGGAGCTTGGGGGCTTGAACCCGGGAATTGGTTGCTTGGACCTGGGAATTGAAGGCTTGGACCCTGGAACCTTGGAGCTTAGAGGCTTGGACCCGGGAATTGGTGGCTTGGACCTTGGAATTGAGGGCTTGGACCCTGGAACCTTGGGGCTTAGGGGCTTGGACCCGGGAATTGACCCGGGAATTGGGGGCTTGGACTTGGGAATTGAGGGCTTAGACCCTGGAACCTTGGAGCTTGGGGGCTTGGACCCGAAAACCTTGGAGCTTGGGGGCTTGGACCCGGGAATCTTGGAGCTTGGGGGCTTGGACCCTGGAAGCAAAAAAAACTATTGAGAAACTTATTGAGAAACTTATTGAGAAACCTTTTTTTTCCCCTTGGACCCGGGAATTGGGGGCTTGGACCTTGGAATTGAGGGCTTGGACCCTGGAACCTTGGGGCTTAGGGGCTTGGACCCGGGAATTGACCCGGGAATTGGGGGCTTGGACCTGGGAATTGAGGGCTTAGACCCTGGAACCTTGGAGCTTGGGGGCTTG